TCAAAAATGGCAACAGCTGACATGACTCACTGGGCTTCGAATAGTTTCAAACAGCTGATTGAGATCCATTGTTTCAGCAGTGACTATCTTAATGACTTGTACAAACTAATTGTTCTGTTGTTGTAGTAGATAGCTCAGCTAGTTAGCTAGGTACCTAATTATTAAAGTGACCCAGTATTTGAGACAGTCAAAAGGTTGTAAAATGTGTTTTGACACACTTTGCTAACTTAAAATGCCACAGGTATAATTATTGCTATTGACTTCAGCTTTCTACTTTGGACAATAGCAGCCAAGTCGATGAAACTCTGGCGCTGCTGCTAATGTCTGGAACTATTCGACGCTCCCATGAGGTGCCATTTCTGTAAAACAAAAACCGGTCTTGTAAGAATCAATGGAGATGTCACCACACTCCTCAGCTATACTACCCTCTCCCTGACAGCCTATCATTTGCAGCCCCCCTGTTGTTATTCCAGCTTTTCTACATTGTCAGAATACAGTCCTTGAATTAGTCCTGCCTGCCATCTAGTAAAGGTTATATATAAGAAGCGCTTGAACTGTGAGTAGTCATTTCAATCAGCCAGTTGTGTCTGCTAAAAGCCCAAACTAGCGGCTGCCAGACCGAACAAGTCACGTTTTAATAATACACCCATGATCTCACCAGACACTCGACCAGCTGAAAATAAATTAGGGAGAGTAGCTTTACCTTAAAAAAAATGTAAATAACATTTTACTCTTAACTGTCAGACCCTTTTTGTAAGACTTGTCATAGTAGGAAAAGTACAGGTGTTACCAACAATTAGCTTAACACACAAGAAACTTAGTGTATAATACTCAACTTAATTTATTTACCTTGTTATAGACTTGCAAACGACCAGTACATCTTGCTGAATGTAAACAGAGGCTATATGTTGCACATACCCCAGGGGAAGATGATCATGAATTACATACCTCTATGTTTGACTGAAAGGATTCATTTATAATTTTGTGCACTAGTGTTTCAAGTCTACACTGGAGCCGAACAGTGCCACCAGCTGGTCTTCATACTGGGAGATGTTTCTCTTCATGATGTCCATACAGGGGCCCAGCAAACGTTCAAAAGCCTGGATGTCAATTACTGTGGAAAGAAAGCTTTTTTAGTTTCCTGTGTGAAACTGCCTAAATTCATAAAATTATTTTTCATTAAGAGAAATGTGAATGACAGAGCCTGGGATTTAGGTTGAGTGCTGTCACATCTGTGAAAAAGTTACAGAGGATCATTATACACAGCACTACACAAGTCTCCTTTGATGCAAGGTTGGACATAATAATCAGTTCAGGCTGTTTGTACCAAATGCTGCCCTGATATCAGCTGCAATGTGAATTGAGGAGGAGAAAACACTTTCCCACTCCGTTACAAACCGATGACATCTGTCCAATTATGTTGTCAGTTACTGCACCTCTTGACCATGTCTATGGATGGATTAGGACACAACTGCCCCTGAGGCACAGACATGTAAAAGGCCCCTTAACAGAAGTGAGACCTCCAGACTGAACATGAAACTACAAATATGTTTATGTCTTCATGATCATTGTGCATTTGCCTGTCTGCGGCCATTTTACATCTCTTTGTGTCTCTGCCTCCTCACCCAACACTGGACTACAGCATCTTTCACTGAGAACATGATAAAGTAAATACGCCGTCACCCCTGAAACTCAAAAGACTCAAACATGAGACATACCCAGACATTTTGTTTCCCCCACAGCATAGACAGACGCTGCTCAAGGTCTGTTGGTGACCAGCGCCAGCTCCCCGAAATACTGCCCTCTCGAACAACGAGCCACCTCCACCTCTGCATTATCCTGCTGGTTTGCCTTTATGACACACACAGAGTAAGCGGAGTCCTGCAGTTTAACGCCATACAATAACAGACAAGTACACACTGATCAGCCATAACATTATGACCACCCTCCTAATGCTGTGTACACAGGAGTCAGTGCAGCAGTTGGCTGGCACTCCTGTCACTGCAGGTCACTGTGCATCTTCTGTGAAACCTGCTCTCATCACATCAACTTCAAGGACTAAATGTTCACTTGCTGTCTAATAAACCCTGCACACTGACACGTGCCACTGTAATGAGATAATCAGTGCTGTTCACCTGTCAGTGGTCGTAATATTATGGCTGATCGGTCTCTGATATAATACAGTATATTACACCTACCTAATAAACTATTAATAGAATATTTTATTATTTTGAAGTTGCAATTAAAATAGATTTGGTCATTGTGCTTACTTTGCTTTGTATCATTATCTTCACCTCTCCTGACTCCACAATGTAGAAACAGTCAGCCTTCTCCCCCTGCAAGAACAGAAACACGCATTAAGTTTGACCAAACCAGCATTAGTTAAAAGATCCAGCAACAAATGTCCCAACACTGCACCTGCGCTATTATGCGCTGTCCGTCTTTGAACGCTCGTGCCCCCAAAACATCAACAATCTTCATTCTTTCAGAGAGCTTGTGACAAGGAAATAAAAGGCATAATGATACAACAAATAACACACCTCAAAGGCAAGGTATCTATTCAACGATTATTCCATTTGTACAGTTGTTTCTAATACAAACCTCGAGAGAATTCAGCAGAGGAACACGCTCAATGAAGGCCTCATACATCCTCCTCTTCTTCGCGTTGTTTTTCCACAATCAGCCTGTGAAATGTGGCCCGATCCTGAAAGAGCACCACAAAACGTAGTTTGTGTTTTATCTTAACATCTGTTCTACTCCCTGTTTTAATCAAGGTTTAAACACAGATACCACATGATGCTCAGAAGCACCGAAGGACTCACCAGGGCCCACAGGGCACCTTCCTGACTTGCAATGATCGTGGCAGTCCGCGGTGTGTTGTACATGAGAGCCAGCTCAGTGAAACTCCCCTTGTCATCATACTGTCCAACACACAAACTCCTTCCATCCTTCTCCACAAAAATATCATACACACCCCTGGAACGTAGTAGTAGTTGGAAGTCTGACACATCATGGAGGTTAAATGTTCTAAAAAATTATAATTATATGACCATCTCTCACTTCTCTATAACATAAAAATTGTCTCTATCATCTCCTTGGTCTATGATGTGCTCCTAAGGTTTCACCAACACCTCGAACATGGCGTCCAAGACCTCAGAGAACTGCTCCTGGGGGACATTAGGGAAGACAACACCTGTCAAAAACATGGCAATGCAAAGGGCTTTGTGTAGGGCATTAAAAGGCATTAAGGGATAATATAAAAGAAGCTAAAGCAATATAAATAAAGACAAGTAGGATTTAAAATGTGAGAAATGAAATCTAAGATAAGAATGAGCCTGCGTCATCGTTTTCGTCGGGGTTGTATGCCTCTGCACACACTGCAGCAGAGCAAGCAAATTCAAATACTGGGCCGTGGTCAAAATTCATTACACATTATGTTCCAGTTACTGACCTGAAACTCTGCGATTGCATTTTCCGCTGGTGGACTCTGCAGAGGGAGACAGTGGGAAATAGATTACACTGGGTTTGACAAGTCTATCAAAGCTTAAGGAAGCTCGTCCTACTTTATTGTCACAGACTGGCTACAGTGTGTGCGATGTTCTTTCTTCTCATCTCTATACTTTACACATTCTCTGCAAAAAATGGAAACGTGTTAAATTGTGTATCACAAAACCGCGAGTGGTCTCTTCCAGGAAGACAGTGCCTCCATCCAAAGGGCATAGGGCGGGGGTCACTGAATAGTTAGATGAGTTGGAAAACGATGTGCATCAGATGCTGTGGCCTTCACAGTCACCAGATGGGTTTAGGTTTTGAACTACTACTAAACAGCATCTCTAAAAATGACATTTTGCATTATGAATACAAAAAAGAAAATGTAATCATACTTACCATCGGTGCCCTCCTCCTCCTCATCTTTTGTGGCTTCGTTTCCTTCAAAGGTGACTCCTTTTCTGGCAGCTTTGTCACTGCATTTCTCGGCTTGTTGGTCAGTTCTTTGATTCTCCAGAATTCGTGTAAAATGCTGCACCACAAATTCAACCAAGTTTGGCGGCCTGTGACGAAGCACCTCCACAGTGTAGCCCTGCAAGAGCTGTTTCAGACCTGCTGGTAACTCAGTGTTGCTCATTGTTCAGGTTCAGATTTTGGATTTTATTTTTGTTTTTCCAAAAATTAACCAAAAATCTTTAGAAAAACTGCATTTCCACTGAGCTCAGTTATCAATGCCTGATATATCAAATGTCACCACAAAATGACTCCTCCTCTCGTCCCTCTCACATTCAGCTGCTTATTGATTTCTTTATGCAGCAGAGCCTGTCGGAAAGTATTGACCAGGGCTCTTTACATCAGATGTAATTAGAGGCTGCCCGATGGATTACACATCAGAACTTGATGATCTGGCAAAGAAGTGACACGCACAGAGGACTTTTAACTGTCCTGGAAGTCAGGCTGTCATGCATCTGCAAAAATAGACGGCAAAAACAAACTAGTACATAAAGCTGAAATAGAAAAGGGAGTACACTGGAGGATAAACGGGAAAGTTTATGTGACTTACATTGGAAAACTTCATGTTCAGCTTTTTGGAGAGTGTTTCATTAACACCTGTTCAGAAGACTTGCCACACGAATCCTCTGGGTGCTGAGGGACGTCGGAGGCAAATCGTTATCATACTTTGGTCTGGTCCATTCATAAAGTTTTGCATGAAGTACTCGAGGTAGAAACCCAGTTTTAATTGGGCAAAACTTTAACTCCAGTTAACTCCTATATTTAAAAAGTTAAATGGTTCAGGTATAAAGACCATTACATAACAGATTGAACTGACATCATTTACAACATCTTTTTAAGAATAACTGGTTTTAATCCTGTGTATATTCTTATTTCTTCTAAATCATTTGCACGTATGCTTTTGTATAATTTATTATTAATTGTTTCGGTTGTTAAAACTATTTTTTATATTTTTTGAATAGCTATAACCAAACGAGAAGAAAATTTGGAAAAAAAAAGGTGCAAGACAGTCTCACTTCTCAACATGGATTCTGCTTTTTATTTCTGTACATGATGACATTTGTATATTGTTCGACTTCATTATGACTACATATAATTTCATCAGTGACATTAAAGTAACACAGAGTGAAGTTAGTTCCCGTGCTCAGCGAGCGGAGCGTGACTGTGCAGGATGCTGATAGTCTGGAGGGTGCGTACTGCTGAGACGCTGAACACACACAGTGCAACAAAATGCACCTGGTTCCTGATATGCACACCTGCTCGCAGATCATGGTAAGGCACGACATGTTTAGTTCACTCCTTTTCTTATATTTGAAGGGACACAATAAAACTAAACAAATAAAACAAAGACAAAGGAGGGTGAACATTCATCTGTGTGTGCAGTGGCATTGGCACAAAGTCATTACAGCGTCTCTGCAGTGAAACCTCAGCAGGTCCACGTGCACTGCAGTACCACAAGGTTTCAAAAAGAATCAAGTCCATTGTTATATAGTTGTTAAGATGTCAAATAAATCTGACCCAGTGTGTGTGTGTCTGCATTTACTGCTAACAACTGCTCTGTTTAGTTACACAGTCTGTTCCTGGGATTCATCTACGAGGCAACATTGATCCTTCATCACAGATTCGGTGCTAGCCAGTTCAGGAACTTCATCGCCAGCTCGAATCCTAAGAAACAAGCCTGAAAACAAGAGATACAGAAAAAAAAGTGTATAAAAATTATGGGATAAATAGTTTTTTAAAATTCTGTAACAATGTATAATATTAAATGTGTTATTTTATCACAAAAGAGCTACATAAATACTTACTTTGTACTTATGTGTACGCCCTTTGAATCTTTTGATGAATCCATATTAAGCTGCATCATGGGTAAATTTGACCTGCCACAGGGGGCTTAGCTTTTAGTTCAATGTTTAAATGAGGAGTTTGACATAAAACGAAATAAAAATAAAACCTTTTCTATACATAACAGGAATTACAAAAGTAATTTCCTTACACCATTTTATATGCGTCTCCCCCTGGTGCTCAAACCTGGAACATCTTGCTATGCGATTCCTCACAATAGACAGTTATTTTTTTTACTGTTTATTATAGAAAATTTATTGCAGAAAATTTTAATGTGTTTTTAAAATAGTGTCTTCTCTGACCTCGCAGGTCAAAACATGAGTGTACATACAGTATTTCAGTATGTGGACGACCTCTTTTTTTCCCCTTCACTGATGTTTTTATCCAACACCTGTACCCAGCGAGGGTTGGATATGCATGAGCCCCCCCTTTTTTTTTAATCTGACATTTATGGCCAGCTCCTCTTTATCCTCCTTGTTCATAATCAAACTGACCCGTTATTTGTCCAAATGTAGCATCTAGCTGTTACTGAAGTGAAGCACAAGTGAAATTCACTCACTGCATTTGCAGGGAAAGCTCTTAGCATGACAGCGTTGAAGCCCTTATACAGTGACACCACTCCCTCCTCTCTGATCAGCTCCCGCAGAACATCTCGAAACCCGTTGGGATATTTTCCTTCAGGGGCTGAGGGAGACACAACATAATGCTCAGTCACAGACACATCTTTTAAAGATCGTCTGTAAAAGAAAAGGTTAAATTTAGCAATATGGACAAAAGTGAAGACATTTATCTAGAAGTACACAGTCAAAGGCGACCAGAGTGTTGTACTACTGAACAGGTTTCACCAGACAGCTGGGAGGTCTGTGACATTTTAACCAATTAACTCCAGTTTCCAGTGACTTAGTACTTCTAGATATCCCACAACCTGGATCATGGATAATTTTCAGAGACTAAACACTGAACCTTTCCACTGGCTGTGTCAGTGTAGTGCATTTACAGTAAGCAAGACCATTTTTACTGAATTTGAGACTACTGTACCAAAATACAAGAACCCAGCTGTCAAAACCAGTCTACTTCACACCACGATTTTACACACCGTGATAAATCAAGTGAAAATTGGACAAGATGTGGAGTTTCTCAGCTGCAGTACCCCCCTCCATGACACACTGTTGTTATTCCAGCTGCTCTATTCTGAAATTTCAAAATACAGTATGTATAAATCATGCCTGCCACCTAGCGAAGGTTATAAAAAGCCTTTTTCAAAGTGTGAGCAGTCAATTAAAGCTGCAGCCACAAAGAACCTCTCATCTAAAAGTCTGCCGGAAGAGGTTACATTACCTTGCACAGGGAGAGTGGGACAAAGAAAGGGCAAAAACCAGTGTTAACATCAGTTTGGCTTTTTGACATGCACAGTGTTAAAAGCAGCCAAAGGATGGTTCAGATGTGGTGTTCTTCCTTCTGGATGTGTTAGCATTAAAGCTAACATGTTTATTTTGGCAACATTAGTGACCTCACATGGTCACAGTTTTACCTTTGTGTTGAACTGATTGAAATCTGAGTGGTTTTTTTTATACTTAATATACTCGTACTCAAACAAAACAAACTGAATCTAAATGCAAACCTGTCTGGAAACGAGACTTGAGTACGTCGGGTGGAATTGCGACTGCCCAGTTAAAAATCCCAGCCATTCCTCCAGCAAACAGCACACTAGGTATACTGAGTTCATTATGGCTACAGGGGAAAAAGACAACAGGATTGGTGGCTCACGACTCTTCATAACAGACACTTGTAAATACTGTAAGGTAAAACAAATATTCACCTTCTTCCTGCAGGGGTGAGGAGGTTCTTCAACCACTCGTAGGACATGAAATACATCCCACTTGCTGGAACGTCTGAGTCACAAAACAAAAAGGAGTTACTTAAACTAAATTCCACCATAACCTCCAGTGTTGTGTGTGTATATGATAAATACAATTGTTACCTTACAGTGGGTACGGAAAGTATTCAGACCCCCTTAAATTTTTCACTCTTTGTTATATTGCAGCCATATGCTAAAATCATTTAAGTTCATTTTTTTCCTCATTAATGTACACACAGCACCCCATATTGACAGAAAAACACAGAATTTTTGACATTATTGCAGATTTATTAAAAAAGAAAAACTGAAATATCACATGGTCATAAGTATTCAGACCCTTTGCTGTGACACTCATATATTTAACTTAGGCTCTGTCCATTTCATCTGATCATCCCTGAGATGGTTCTACACCTTCATTTGAGTCCAGCTGTGTTTGATTATACTGATTGGACGTGATTAGGAACGCCACACACCTGTCTATATAAGACCCTACAGCTCACACTGCATGTCAGAGCAAATGAGAATCATGAGGTCAAAGGAACTGCCTGAAGAGCTCAGAGACAGAATTGTGGCAAAGCACAGATCTGGCCAAGGTTACAAAAAAAAAATTCTGCTGCACTTAAGGTTCCTAAGAGCACAGGGGCCTCCATAATCCTTAAATGGAAGACGTTTGGGACGACCACAACCCTTCCTAGAGCTGGCCGTCCGACCAAACTGAGCTATCGGGGGAGAAGAGCCTTGGTGAGAGAGGTACAGAAGAACCCAAAGATGACTGTGGCTGAGCTCCAGAGATGCAGTCGGGAGATGGGAGAAAGTTGTAGAAAGTCAACCACCACTGCAGCCC